GTATCTGCAAAACAACTCAAGGATATGGCTCAGAATATTATCTATAGACCTTGAGAAGGAACCAAAGGTCCTTACTTTGTTTAATGGCTAAACTATTATTATTTTGTCTCACTTGACTGTCTTCTTTTGTTTCTGCACCTTCTCACTTCTCTGATTAAGTTTGCTCTTTGGAACTTGTGGAAGGCGTAGGAGGCTAAAGCTTGTCTACAAACAAGAGGTTGAGGACATGGGGTGTGTCCCCAGGAAGGCCCTGCAGGGTCCTGCTCAGTTTCATCACATCATACCAGGAGCTATACCATGTCACCAACAACACTGGCTTTGATCACTTGGAAGGCGATATGTCCCATGTTTTCCCACCATACCCTATGTTTTTTCCCTTTCCATACCCTATTCTTTGGAAACAGTGTGGACTGTCTTAAAGAAATGCTCCTTACGGGAGTCCTTGATGGCACAGAGGGAGATGTCATGTGATAAAGCACAGGCATTGACAACCTAGAGTTGGAAAGTGATTTTAAAGAGTATACTCTGAATATGAAGACATTTAGGAAGCCTTAACTGATTTACTGGTTTTCTTCGTATGTATACACAGCAGTAGCATGTAATGAAAATCTCAAGACTCTTTAAAAGGATATAAAATACAAATTTTAAGGGATCAAAAGCACTGTGTCATAGTTCATTTGTCACATTTTCCCTCTTAGAACACAAATTATCAGTGGGGGTAATACTGCCCCCAAGGGGGTGAAAATTAGTTTGGGGGGAGGAGGTGACAAAAAATTCTTAGATATTTCAGTGGTTTGTGGCCCACCAAAGCTTAACCCTCCCTGGCAAAATCTTATTCATCAGCATTTAACTTCTCTAATTAAGTTAAATTAAAATGGTCTCTTTAGGGGGGAATAAGGGGGGGAGAAAGGTTGAAAAACACTTTCTTAAGGTTTATAAAACAGTGATGCATCTAATTTGAGTGGATGGCCTCATAGTGATTGACAAAAGCAAGGATCAGACACTACTCAGTGTGCATTGGATTATGTCTGTGCCTCAGTTTCCCGACCTATAAAATCAGAATGGTTTACATAATAGGGTGGCTGTGAGAGTAAATCAGATGATCTCCATATGAGTCCATATAAAGTATTAGCTGTTATTGTTATCATCATCATCACTCCCATTTTATAAAAGAGGAAAGAGAAGCTCAGAGAGGTCAGACCACTTGCTCCAGGGCACACAGCCTTGGAAGTGCCAAAAAGGAGCTCCAAGGCTGCTGAGTTGGCTTGGGGAGGACAGATTTCCACACCTGAATCTGTCCTGTCCCTCCCTGCGGAGTTGATTCTGTCGTGGACAGCCCCACAAGAAAGCTGGCGCCACTTGGTCGCCCCCGTTCACTGGCACAGGGACGCCCCTTCTTTCTTTTTCTTTTTTTAAAATTTGTATTGGGGTACAGTTGATTTACAATGTTATGTTAGTTTCAGGAGTACAACAAAGTGAATCTGTTATATATATATTTACATCCACTCCTTTCTTGACGATCTCATCAATTCGGTTCGCCAAAGGTTGAGCCTATGGCTGGAGAATTGGGCAGTGGTTTGCTGCCCCCTGCAGGTAGAATGGGAAAAGGCAGGCATCGTGCCCTCCCTTGCCGACCCCCTCTAGGTTTGGGGGCGCTTGCTTCTCTCTTCTTCTCTCTCCTCCACCCCCATAATGCCCTCCAAAAAATGTCCCTGGCACAATTTGGGCAACAACAGTCCAAATTTAAATGCACAAATGCCCATACTCTTGGACTAAGCAATTCCACTGCTACAGATTCAGGCCACTTGCAAAAGTCAGATAAGATTTGTGGGCACCTAGGTGGTCATTGGTTGGGGAGGGCTTCACTCAGCCACAGGACATCCAGCTTTGAGGAAGGTGGGGTGGAAGTGTACCTGCTGTCTTGTAAAGAGCTTCAAGACATTTTGATAAGTGAAAAGCTGAAGGCAGATATAAAAGAACATCGCAAATATATATATGTTGGCATATACACATTTTGTGCTGCAAGGAATCAAAATTAACTTGTTAATCGCTTTGGAAGGAGGGGGGAAGGGAAGCTTCTACTTTTTTGTTTTCCTTTTTCTTTCTTTCTTTTAACCTTTTTTTTTTTTTTTTTTTTACTGTGTGGTTTTCTTACACGGAACATGTGGGTTTATACATATATCTTAATGTCAGCAGAGGATTATGGGAAATTTGGGGCTTCCTCCCTGTTTCTCTCAGTGTTAAAATCCCAATGATAAAATTTTTAACTCAATACATGAAAGCAGTCACAGTAATCTCATGGGGCAAGGGTCAGTGACAAAGCAAGTATAGAATAAGATCCCATTTTTATTTTTTAAAATTATAAATAATAATAGACTGAAATAGAAATCAAAACACTAACAGATTTTTTTTTCTGGATGGGAGCGATTTCTACTGTCTTCTTTGGGTTTCTCTGTATTTTTTTCTATTCCGTATTCCACAATTAATGTTTGTATGTCTTTTGTAATCTGAAAAAAATAGATACACAGCATTGTTAATGCATTTAATGTTGATGAGTTGTACAATTTAAAGTGGTTACAATGGTAAATTTTATGTTTTATGCTATTTACCTGGTTGGTTATTGCAAGGTTACTTTTCTTTAGGGGATGGTAGGAGTCTCTCAGGCAGATGACCTAACTAGTGCTGACCAGGCAATTCCTGATTGACTAGTTTCAGATTCCATTTCTGGAAGAGCCAAAACTGTAATTAAGTCTCAGTTTGGTGATGTGGCACTTAGTATAGGTGACTCCATTTGAGGTCTTTCCATTTATTGATTTGAAGCTTATTTACTACATAAAGTGAGTTTCCTCTATGTCACATGAAAAAATGAGAGGAGAGCCATGGGGCTGACAGCATTTTCATCCAGGGTAGAGGAAGATGATCCACACTGAAAAATATAATGTTTAAAAGAATGGAAGGGAACAAAGATAGAACTGTGTTTTGGTTATGACAATAGTTCTGCTTATTCAACAAACAAATTACTTGTGATATCAGGGAATTAAAAGCCCAACTCACTGGAGTCCCAAGTGTTATGACACTATTAGATCAGGTTTTTTGGTACACCTTCTGCAACTATTTTCTCTTATCACAGCCTCAAAGCCAGAGTGGCTGAGAATCAACATTTTATTCTGAGGAAAACCAAATCTTGCTACAATTCTACCTCAAGAAGCAAAGGCATCTGGAGTGAGCCCAAGAGAAATGAGAAATATGTCCATACAAAGATATATACTATGTTCACAGAAGCTCTATTCATTATAGCCACAAACTGGAAACAGCCCAGATATCTATCCACAGGTGAGTGGATAAGCAAGTTGAATACATTTATATATAATGGTGTTACCGAACCAAACTTGGGTCTGCTTGCTTGTGTGCAGTAAAGCCAATCTACTGACACTGGATTGTGGTGAAGGAAAGTGTAGCGTTTATTGCAGGGTGCCAAGCAAGGAGTCCAGGTGGCTAGTGCTTAAAAGGCCTGAACTCCCTGAAGGCTTTCAGGGAAAGACTTTTAATGACAGTGTGAGGAAGGGGGATTGTGGGGTATGTGATCAGCTCATGGACCTTCTTCTGATTGGTTGGTCATGAGGCAATTGGGAGTCAACATCATCAATCTTCTGGTTCCAACAGGTCTGGGATCTATGTGCTTGTGGTCAGCATACAGTTAACTTCTTCTAGCTGGTGGGGAAACCCTCAAAGGGTATGGCTCAGAATATTATCTGTAGCCCTTGAGGAGGAACTGAATGTCCTTGACTTTGTTTTTGAAGTATTTATTTATTTTGGCTACGCTGGGTCTTAGTAGCGGCATGCAGACTCTGAGTTGCGGCATGAATGCGGGACCTAGTTCCCCAACCAGGGATCGAATCCAGGTTCCCTGCATTGGGAGCGCAGAGTCTTAGCCACTGGACCACCAGGCAAGTCCCCTTGACTTTATTTAATGGCTAAACTATTATTACTTTGTCTTCCTTTCTTTCTGCGTTGTCTCACTTCTCTGATTAAATTTACACTTTGGAACTTGGGGACAGCCTAGGAGGCTAAAGCTCTTCTACAAACGAGAGGCAGGCAGAAGACGTGGTGGGTGAGTGGGTGGGGGGAGGGTGTGTTCTAGGAAAGGTCCTACTCAGTTACAATGGAATAACACTTACCAATAAAAATGCAGTACTGTTATATCCAACAACAGGAAGAATCTCAAACACACTATGCCCAGTGCAAGTACTCTCACTCGAGAGAACACATGTTTTATGATTCCACCTACATGAAACTTTTAAAAAAGACCATTATGACCTATAGTGAGAGAAAACAAATTTGGAGTTACCTGGGGAAAGGGATGGAAGAATTAACTGTAAAGAGGAACAAAGGAATTTGGGGGTGAAGGAATGTTCTTTGTCTTGATTCTGAAGGCGATTACATAGGTGTATAAATGTGACTACACTCGTGGAAGACTACAATTTAAATGGGTGCATTTTACTGTTTATAAATTGTACCTCAATGAAATCGATTTTTATTTTAAATACCATGAACATATATTTCACATACTACCGTCATTTACCAAAAGCTGAAAAACTAAGGAGTACTTATTAGGCTTACAAAATTAGGTCATCTATTGAACCCTCAAAATATGGCAATAAAGGAGAACAGAACATTCAAATACGCGCAAAACACTCAATAAAACGTTGGGTTTTAGGAAACCAGTGCTTTGTCAAAAAGGCTTCCCAGACCTAGGTGCCCAAGGCGGGAGAAAATGGAAGTGGGCGGCAAAGCCGGAAGTGTGGCAGGAAACAGAATGCAGAAGCTGGGGACGCGCTTGACTCTCCAAGTCCGGCCCTGAACCCGGAAGTGTGGCCCGCGTCCAGATGAAACTACGCATGCGCACAGCCTAGATCGGCCAATCAAAACGAAGGAAGGCGGGCGTTCGGGTGAAAATCGGGAAGTGTGGCCTTTCTACGTTCCGGACGTCAGCCGAGCGCCATGGAGGCCTACGAACAGGTCCAGAAGGCGCCCCTGAAGCTGAAAGGCGTGGCAGAGCTCGGAGTGACTAAGCGGTGAGTCCCGAGAGGCTGTCCCTTTGAGCCTCTTCCTGAGACCCCGGCGCGTAGCCCTCTGACCCGCCGTTACCCCGTCTCCCCTCCCAGGAAGAAGAAAAAGCAGGACAAAGACAAGGCGAAACTGCTGGAAGCGATGGGAACAAGCAAAAAGAACGAGGAGGAGAAGCGGCGCGGCCTGGACAAGCGGACACCGGCCCAGGCGGCCTTCGAGAAGATGCAGGAGAAGCGGGTAAGGCGGGTGGGAAGCCTAGGGATGTCCCGCATCGATGGCCTGGGTCTCCTGGGGTGGATTCAGAGGCAGGACCCGGAGACCCGTAGCCGGGGTCTACCCCAGAACGCTCCGGGGAGGGCAAGCGGTCAGTGAGGACCTTAATTCCGGGGAGAAGATGCTGCGTGAGTAAGAGAGTAAGAGTCCACGGTGGGGGAGCTCCGAGGACAAGAAGGTATTCTGGCCGGATTGGGCCGCAGAGGGGAGAGCTAGAGACCCGGCTTTGGATTCCAGCGCTGTCGCTCGTTTGACCCGTAACACTGGTCAGTGACTCACCTTTTGATGCCTCAGTTTCCACATATGTAGGGGTCAGAATCATGCTTTCTCTTAAGAGGGATGGGAACTTTGGATGAGGTAACGCGGGCAAATGGCACTCAGTCTGGCATAAAGTCAGTGCTCAATGGATATTAGCTGTTGACATTAAATGGGCATACTCACTGCTGTAGGTCACCACGAAGTGTTCCCATGACGACTTTGGCGGCTTCAAATACGTTGTATTTTCAGGCTCTGAAAAATGATTTCTCTTAATATTAAATACTTAATAAATTTGGGTGGCGAAGGGTAGGAGAGGTCAGCGTAGGATAGATACGTTCAGCCCATTATGTTTGGGGGGAATAATCAGTCTAGGTCAGTGGTTCTCAACTGGGGGCCATTTTGTCCCCCACCTCCACTCCCAAGAAGACATTTGGCAATGTTTAGAGACATTTTTGTTTGTTACAACTTGGGTGGGGCGGGGGTGGGCAGGGATGCTGCTCAACATCCTGAAGTGCTTGAGACAATGTCCCCCAGAGCAAAGACTGATCTGGCCCAAAATGTCAGTAGTGCCCGGGCTGAGAAACGCTAATGGTGGTCTTGGTGATTTGGTCCAGTAACGTCAGGAAAAAGTTAACTCATTACTCCCAGGCCTAATTGAGTCATAGGAGAGAAAAAGGAGAGAGAGAGAGAGACACACACACTGGCTTTGACACAACAGACCTGCGTCCCATTCTGTCTCTACCACTGTTGGTGGTGTAACTCTGGACAAGTTGGCTCACCTCCCACACCTTAATTTCTTCATCTGTAAAGTGGGACTCAAGTTCCAGCCTCATAGGTGGTGAGGATTTAACAAGTGAATGCACTTAAGCCCGTTCCTTAAGGTTATAGTCAGAGGCAGGGCTGGGATTTTACTGCTGGAGTTGGGGTGGAGAGGGGGAGAGGCTCATGCAAGCATCAGAGTGACTGATAATGGCTCCTCAGAGTAGGGCAGCAATAGTGGAGGTGATGGAATGTATCGGGTTTGGGATTGGTTTTGAAGGAGGAACAGCCAGATTAGCTGATGTGTTGGGTGTGGGCTGGGAAAAAGGAATCAAGGATGACCCAAGATTTTTGGTGGGAGAAGCTGGGTGAATGAAGGTGCTGTTTTACTGAAACAGGAAGGACTGTAAGTAAAGCAGGTTTCTAAAGTGGGGGGATCAAAATCTTCGTTTTAGAAGTTGAATTTGAGGTGCCTGTTAGAAACCCAAGTGGAGAATTCTCATGGACAGTTCGATACCTGAATCTGCAGTTTAGAGGAAAGGTCTGGGCCCAGATAAGCATTGGGGAATTGCTCTGGGGACTGCATGAGATCCTTTGAGGAAGGATAGTGATAGAGGTGTTCTAGGATCTGACTCCTGGTGATCAGAGGGTGGCAGAAAAGAAATTACAAAGGAGCACAGGACGGAGGGATACCAGGAGAGAGTGTGTCCTTAGGAGCCAAGTGGAGAAAGTGTTTCAAGAAGGAAGACGTGATCAGCTTTGTCATATGCTGGCAGGAGGTCTAGGCGGGTGAGCACTCAGAGCCCTTAGTTGGCATTTGGTATGAGAAGGAGGAAAGGCTGATTAGAGTGGATCCACGTGGGGGCAGGGAAAGGCAGAGATGGAGACAAGGATTAGAAATTAGTCTTGGGAGATTTGCTGTCAAAGGGAATGGAGAAATGGGCCTCTAGCTGGAGGGTAGAAGGTCAAGGTGAAGTTTTTGTTGTTGGCATTGAATACCAGAAATACTCCTGAGGGTTTTGTTTGACCCAGCGGAGGGAGAGAGGGGGGCAGGAAGAGAGAGAGGGGAAGAGAGGGAGGTACATGAGATGGGAGAGAGAAGGGAGCAGGTGTGGACAAAGCGAGGTACAGTTGGGAAATGCAGATTCCCTTGTGGAAGAGTGTTGGATTGAGCACAGTGGGCTTTATAGGCTGGACAGCTCCTGGAAGGCTCCAGCCTGGTGGAAAGGATCAGAGCTTGGCATTTCCAGCCCTATGACCCACTGTGCACTCTGGTCCTCATTTTCTCTTGTCTGTGAAGTGGGGTTTGCAACAGCACCCATGACACCCTCTGAACTTGGTGCGTGGAGTGAGAAGAGGGAGGGCAGAGTCCCGCAAAGTGCCTGGCATTGGTAACAGCTGCTCAAGTCAGCGTGGCCTCTTGTGAGGAGACACGGGCCTCCGTGGGCTCACAGCAGCAGGAAGGGGCAGGGATGGACAAGGCAGATACTTCAGAGGGAGAGGGAGTGTCAGCCAGGTGGGAGCTGACTGCACACAGAGGGAGGTGAAGCGGCAGCAAAGGAGAGGAGGAGGGAAAGCGAGGGGCAGCCGGGGGCAGTCTGCAGTATATCTCATGCCTTTGTGGGTTGCCTGGGCTTAGCTGGGTGGTTCTTCTGCTGGCCTCCCTTGGAACCTGGTGCAGTCAGATGGCAGCTGGGGCTGGAGGCCCATCTGGGCTGGAAATCCAAGATGGCTTCACCATCACGTGTCTGGTGCCTCATTGCTCCTCCATGGCCTCCCTCCCCACATGTCATCTCATTCTCCAGGTCCTTTCTTTGCAGCAAGGTCATCAGACTTCCCGAATGTGGCTAGCTTCCAAGAACACAAGGCAAAACCTGCTAGGTCTCCTTACACCTTCAGCCCAGCACTGGCACTGCATTCTGTTAAGTAAACCGTGTCACAGGACCAACCCAGAGTCACTGCGACAGAGGACTGCACCAGGGCACCAGTAACAGGCAGCTCGGTTCATGGCGGGGGTGGGGGGGGCACCAAAGTGAGTAGGCCACAGTCACCCAGCTAGTAAATGTAGAGCCAGGTGCGGCCCCGGGTCTGCGTGGCTCTGCATCCCATGCTCTCACCTCATACCAGGTATAATTGGTGTTAAGCATGAGGGTAGGTCGTGGTACAGGGTGCATGTTCCAGCATCATACTTGTCAAGGCCATCTGGGTCTTGTAACTCTCTTGGCTCTGTGTCCTGTCACTCAAGCACCTACTCTGTGTCAGGCTATTTACCTTCCTCATTTATCATCCTTCCTCAGACCCCTTCTGAGGCTTTCTTTTTCTGCAAACTGGGAATGCAGTCAGTTGCCCAAGGATGCAGGAAGCACATGTACAGCTCCCAGCGGAGTCTCTCTCCTTAAGTCAGTGCTAGGACGTTTCCCAGCACTCAGACCAAAGGGCAGCTGATGTGAGTTCCCACCGGGATGTGCTATGGTCAGGCATCCCTGCTGGACCCACCTGAGTGGAGCTGAGGGAGGGGCGAGGTGTTCACCCTGAGACCTCCAGCTATTCTAAGTGTGAGAGCCGGGCTGGCTGGGGGCTCTCATCTTCCAATCGTGTGCTGGCCTGGGCTGCATCAGGCATGTGACTCACCTCCATTTCTCTCCTCTCTTCAGCAAATGGAAAGGATCCTGAAGAAAGCATCCAAAACCCACAAGCAGAGAGTAGAGGTAAGTCATGTGCTGGTGGGGGAGACTGAGCCATGTAGGGATCAGGCTGGGCCCAGAGGCTAGGAGCCTGGTAGAGGAGCCATTGGAGTGTTGGCGGTGGCGGGGGGTGGGGGTGGGTGGGCTTTACCCAACCTCCCCAGGGTCACATAAGGGCAAGGCCAGGGTTCAGTCATCTATAATGCCTGGCAGGGTGGCTTTGAGAGGAAGGGGCTCACTGAGGAGAGACAGGATGTGGAGAAGTGGGAGTGGGCAGTGCTGCGTATTCCTAGTGCCCTGCTTGGGTCTGTGTTGACATGGGCTTTCTCCTCGGCTTTTCCAGGACTTCAACAGACACCTGGACACACTCACAGAGCACTATGACATTCCCAAAGTCAGCTGGACAAAGTAGCCTCCCCTCCTGGGGTATGGAGTGGCATCAAGGAGAAGCAGAAGGCAAAGTTGGGGTTATATTCGGTGCCTTTGGTATTTTCTAGAAACATTCTTTTACACACATCCTTGCATCATCTGCTGAGATAGTGCTTTTCAAAGCTGTATGTCCTCATTCTGGAACTTGATTAAAATAAGACCGTCCTTTTACTCTATTTTGATTTCTCAGTAGCACATAGAAGAGAAACATTTTTAGTTTGGAAAGTGTATCCAGAGATTAAGGTTATCTCTGTGTAAGTGCCATGGAAAAGTGGTTTTAGCCCCGAGTTGTATCTGACTCTTTGACAGCCAGCCAGCTGGCTTTGCCTGGATGAAACCGACTCCAGAGGACAAGGAGCTAATGCCAGCGTGGCCTGCAGCATGTACACCCCTGTAGGGCCCTGCACAGGCTGCCCTTCCAAGCTCCCTCTAGGTTGGGGCTTAGGCTCTCCCATCCAGGGGTTGGGAAAGCCACTTGCAGCTATGGTCTTCAGTCTGACCCCTCAGCCTCTTGGCCAGTGAGACAACACAGCCTGGGAAACAGAACAACCACCTAAGGCAAGGATGGAACGTACACCTTGTCCCTTTCTAAACCTGTGGCCAGCATGTAGCCTCTTCTCCCAGTATCCCCATTCCAGACATGTCTAGTGGGTGTTGCCATGGCAGGCATTGCCAGTCAAGCACAGCATTCTTTGTAATGGAACCCAGACACAGCCTGACATCTTACCTTCAACCCTGGGCTCCAAGCAGCCCCCCGTATTTATTCAGAGTTGGCACATAACATGTTTGGCATTACTGGCCTAAGGACACCTCGAGGGTGATGGGACCGAGGCAGACCCCCAGCACAGACAGACGTGAGTGTAGTTGAAAGGAAGGACTCAGGTTCCCGTGCTGGAGAGCCAGGATCTTTGAGGGCCTCTCTGTATACCCACCAGATAAGGATCAGATTGCATATGCTGTTGGGAAAAAATGTGTTGACATAGATGCTGAGAGAATAAGAAAGGCAGAAAACAAAACCATGTGTTGGGTTTGGGACTGTCATATGTAAAATGCAGAATAAAACAAAAAAAGTTATTAACTGTGAGTCTGAGTATCATAATTACAGGCTATTTGACTACCACTAGAAACACTGCCTTTAGGATTATCACACACAAAGAATGTGCGTACCACAAAACAACTATTCTCCCCTCAATTTGGAGAAAATTAGATGACATGTGTTTCCACCTGGGGTTTGCAACCCACCTAAAGGAGGTGACATACTCTCTCCTTAGCATGGCTCCTTGTGGTGGATTTCCCCACTGACTGGTAGAAAGGCACTTTCAGGCCTTTGCCATCCATGAGTCAGCAGTTGGGGTCTGTGAGCATGATGCGGTGGCGCTGTGAAAAGCCTGCTTCAGTAGTGGGGAAGACAGCTATTCCAATCTCCCTGCCCATCAGATCACTCCAAAACTGAGTGACTGAAAACAGTGGAATTTCTCTCTCACAATTCTGTGTATTGACCATGCTCAGCCGGATGGTTCTGCTCCACGAGGTGTAGTTTAGTTCATGTGTAAGTTACATTGACTTGCCTGGGGCCAGAACGTCCTCCAGAATCTCCCTTTACATAACCTGTTCCATCGCCAACACAAGTCATTGCCAAACCCACTCTGGGAGGGAATTACACAGGGCACGAACACCAGAAGATGTGGTTTATTGAGGGCCATCACTTATAGTCTACCACAGTGGTTCTCAAAATCTGTGTGTTAGGCTCTCCTGGGGAGCATTAAGAACTACTGATGCTGCCTGGGGTGGGGTTCCGTCGTGAGATTTTTCAGAGCTCCCCAGGTGACCCCAGCATGCAGCAAAGTTTGAAAAACTCTGGTCTAGCACAATCAGTATGGTCTTTTCTGAGATGTCACAGAGGTCAAATCTGACATACATTAACTACCAAGAATGAAATTCAGATATGATTCAAATTCCTTCCTCCAGGTGGGATAGGGAGGGTGGGAGGGAGGGAGACACAAGAGGGAAGAGATATGGGAACATATGTATATGTGTAACTGATTCACTTTGTTATAAAGCAGAAACTGACACACCATTGTAAAGCAATTATACCCCAATAAAGATGTTAAAAAAAAAATTCCTTCCTCCACATATGGAGAAAAGGAGGTTACAAGTAATTTATATATAAACAGTGTTTACTGTGACAGTACTCTTGGCACTTGGAAGTCTTTGTTTCCTCAAAAGACTTTTGTCCTCCTAGCCCTCCAATACTGTATTAAACATCTAAAATGCCCACAGCAAGCCTGAAAAGAAATCGTCCATAATGGAAAGGGTTGCCTCTCCTGGGTAGCTTTTCTTTTTGCCTTATGCTTTTTGGCATTTCCTCAGTTTTTCTTCAGTGAGATGTACAGTTTGGTAGTTAGAAAAAAGACATGTTTTTCTAAAACATTGCAATAAATTGGGCAAGGTATGAGGCTAGGCACGGTAGGATTTCTTAAGAGAGAGTTGGTGTCAAAAAGCCTCAGTTGGCTGCCTTGTGGAAGAATTCTTCCAGCCCAGGATTCACTTGATAACCTTTAAAGATTCCAGTTTTCTTCTCTGGATTTTCTTGCACTTACATCTCTACCCCAAGTAGAGGATGTATAACCACAGAGTTGCAAAAACTATCTTTGAAAACCCCAAGTGGAGGTAGTAGAGAAGGTAAAAGATGAGAGAGAGGCAAGCAGCCTGGGTAAATGGTTCTGATACTGCAGGACTGGGCCCAGGGCACTATGATGGTTCATTGGGACAGAATGCAGGCATTTCTCCAAAGGCCGAGTATTCATAAAAGCAAATGAGATATAATTCAATTAGATTAATTGGGGTCACAGTTTGCATTACCCACAGTGACCACTAACTACAGAAATAAATCACCTGCTTTTTGCCTAGGTTCAGTGGGGTGTGGCTTTCAGGAGATCATTTCAGGCAATAAACTGGCACACTTGTCCACTGACAAACGTTGACACTGACAGGTGACAGGAACTGACTGTTGATACGGCTCAATTGCCAGAGAGTTTAACTTCTTTCCAAGTAACCACCACCTTACCCCTCCCTATAAAGGGTATCACAATTGGTGACTGTATATTTGTTTTCGACTTCCCCACCAGGCTATGAGTTCCATACGGCTGGGCCCCAGGTGGGTTCAACCACAAGGATCTCTTACCTAACTCGGCCCACAAAGTGGGGTTTTCAGCTGCAGGGGCTTCGCCCAGTCAGGCAGCTAGAGTGCCCTGCCTCAGTCGGCCCGGCCCGGCCCCGCCCCGCCCCGCCCCGCCCCGCCCCTCTCGGCTTACTTCCGGGATGCTTGAGGGAGGAGCGGGAAATTAGGGCGCTCTGGACATACTGCGCCTGCGCACCCTGCGCCCTGCGCCGGCGCATTCTTGGCAGCTCGTCCCGGGCCGGACATAACGGTCCGCGCAAGGCTCCCCGGACCGGAAGTGGAAACGAATTGTCGCGGGGCGCGCCCGGCCTGGCTCACCGCCTGGCAATCCCCGTTGTCGCCGCCGCCCTCGGGCAGTGCCGAGGCTTTCCGCAGCCGCCATGTCCGCCAGTGCCGTCTACGTGCTGGACCTGAAGGGCAAGGTACCGAGGGCGCCCCACCTTCCGCGTTGCCAGGCAACTGGCGGGGGCCTCGCCCCATGGGGACCCACCCTGTTGCTAGTTAACCGGCCAATGGGAGCCATCCTGGTCTTAGGCAAGGAAGCCGTTTGGCCGCACCTGAGGTCTCCACCCTGTTGCTAAGTGTCCAGGAAGGGGTCTTAGGTCCGCCTTAGCCCTGCCTCGTTGCTAGGTAACGCGGTGGGCTGCCGCCGTTGCCAGGTAACCGGCTGCCAAGACCCTCATCCCCCACCCCTGTGGGCTGGCGGCCCAGGCCTCCGTGGGGGCCTCGGGGAACCCGAGGCCACGGGGAGCGCGGGCCGCAGCCCGCTTGGAAGCCAGGCCTGGTGCCGAGGGGCTGCACGACCCTTGACCAGAGGTGGTGAGGCGTTGCGGGGACAGTGTGCCCTCGGGCCAGTCCCGCCCTCTGGGAGCGCAGCAGCTTATGTTTATTCAGCGATTTTTCTGTGCCAGTCTCTGTAGGGATTTCTTAACGTTCACTGTGACATTGAGTTACAAGGGTCAGGTGAAGTGGGTGGTGGAAGTGCCATTTAACAGAGGGAGAAACTGAGGCACAGAGAGGAGATGCAACCTGCCCAAGGTCACACCGGTCACAGAGAAGTGGCAGGTCTAGGAGTTGAACCCAGAATCATTTGTTCATTCAGCTGATATTTGAGGAGCACCTAATAAGTGCCGGGCAGGGTGCTAAGCCTTGGGCTGCCTTTGGGGAGCAAAATCAGAATCAGTCCCTGTCCTTCTGGAGCTCACCATCTGGTGGGCGAGAGGGACACTGATCTCAAAAAGCACAAATAAATATAAATTGCAGTGGTGGAGCAGTGATGATATAATAGGGAGAGTCAGCCTCTGCTGGGGGTCAGGAAGGGCTGCCCAAGGGGAGTGACAAACCCGGCTGAGACATGAAGGAGGAATTGGACATAACTAGGACTTGGGTGCCTTTCCCAGGGGTTTTTGGGAAAGCTTCATAAAGGAGGGATCTCAAAACTTTTCAGAAGTGACCTGCTGCCTTCCCCCAAGTCCATCCCAGCTAGAAGCCAAGAGAGTATCTGGCCTCTTGCATTGGAGAGTAACAAGAATAGGACAGGACCAACAATATTAAACAACCCCCACATCAGTGAGTGAGAGAAACACGGGTGTCAGGCCTAGGTGAAGCGGGCAGGAATTAGCTCAGAAGCAGTAGGGAGTGAAGAGGTGAAATGACTGTCCCTTGCTGCTCCACTCCCCACCCCCAGCACTTTCCCAGAGTCCCTTAAGTGGGTTGCCTGCCTTGGATGCCACCCAAAGTCAACAGCTAGTGAGACCCAGTACTAGGCTCCCTTCTTCAACCTTCTTGGAGGCAAAGAAAGACACAGGACACACCAGGGGCTGGGAGGGTGCAGTGTTCCCCAAGTCTTTGTAGCACGTGTTCTTGTTTCCTCCCTGGCCACTGTGTTGCCAGAGGTCCGACAGGCTGCCTACTCAGATCACTCATTTCTTCAGCAGACATTTCATGAGCACCTAGTAGGCACCAATTCCAGTGCGGACCATCGCTCTGTGACTGAGGAGTTAGGGCTGAGCTCAAAACCTGTCTCTGCTGCTCAGGCTGCATGACCTAGGGCGAGTGTGTGAACTCGCTGAGCAGACGCACCAGGCAGGCTCAGCACCACCCATGGTCCACAGGCCATGTTAGTCCCCACGGACCCTGAGCCCTGGTAGGGGAGGTGCATGGAAGCTGACAGATCCAAGCAGACACATGGATCCAAATGGTCAGATCCCATTAGTCACAAGGACAAGGCCCCAGGTAATGCAGTTACCCAACCTCAGTTTGGGCTGGCAGGAGGAGAAGTGTTTACGAAGGGCTTCCTGGAGGAGGGAGATGCCAGAGCTGGGAAGGTGACCAGGTGTCAGTCAGGTGAACGAGGAGGTGTCACAGTGGGCCTGCTGGCCCTGGCAAGCCAAAAGTCCTGGGTAATGCTGGAGCCTGGAGGATGGCACCAAGAGGGCCGTGGGTGTTGAGGATGTCCAGATGGGAGAACAGGACAGAGGGAACCACTTTGATCCCAAGAAGGAACAGCCACCATAGGAGACAATAGCCTGGAAGAAGCATGATTATACGTGCCTTTCAGGAAGCTCCTGAGGCAGCTGTGGGTTTGCCTCCCATCCTCAGTGACCATCACACCATTTATTATTCCACTCCCCATGGACCTCATGTCTTGAAAGTTTGCCTTCTGCGCAGACTTCATTTAATAAAAAGAATAAGGTCAGGGAATTCACAACCACACAACTACCTGCCAGCCAGAGCCTCTGATCACCGAGGAAACCAGCGGGGCCACATTCAGCTGATAGAAAGCCCTCCATGGATATTTCTCTGCCCTTATCTTTCTTGCTTCTTTGCATCTTCTGACACCACTACTACGCTCCTCCTCAGCAGGCTTCTGTTGGCCTCGAGGTTGCAGTGCTCTCTATTTTCCCCGTTTCTCTCACTGACTGCTGCCCCTCATCTTCTGCCCTCCCCTTGGACGTCGGCTCCTCATGCTTGGGCCTGGCGTGCCTCCCGTACTGTTGTTCTCCTTGAGGCAGGCTTTGATTTATGTCACTGTGCCAATGACTCTCAAATTTGTTCCAAAGTCCAGAGCACTTATCTGGAGATCCACAGGCCTCCAGGACACCTTGGAGGTCTCACGGCCACCGCAAACTTGGCATTTCCCCAGATGAGCTCCCCGCCACCTGCCGGCCCTGTTCTCTCTCCCCATCTCAGTGACTGACACCACTATCCATGCAGCTGCCCACATTGGAGACATGGGCATTATCCTGGCCTCCTTTTCCTCACTGCCATGTTCACTGCACAGACTTTACTGAGCAGCTACTATGGGCCAGGCTCTGTTGTGGGTGCTGGGACACAGCCGTAAACGAGACGAAAGTGGTCACTGTTCTCAGGGAGTGTTAGACTCTGGTAGAAGCGACAGATGATAAATGAGGATACGAATATATAATGCAGTGGTGATGTGGGCAGTGAAGGTAAAGTGGGCTTGCGAATGGAAAGGGGCAGGATATGATCTTAGCCAGGGTGAGCAGGGAAGACTTCTTGGAGGTGGTGCCATCTGAGCTCGGGTCTGAGAACCGAGAAGATCTAGGCCAGGGCATTCTGGGCAGAGGGAACTGCAAGTGCAAAGCCCCTGAGGCAGGAGCAAATGTAGATGGCTTAGAGAGAGCTAGGGTGCTGACCAGGATGGCTGGAATGGGGTGAGCCCGGGGATCCTGGATGGAGAGGCATTGGAGGGGCTGTGAAGACATCCCATGGGGATGGACTTGCAGTTTGTTCTGTATGAGGGGAGGCTGGGGTAGCAGCAGTTTAAACAAGAAGCAGTCTGCTCTGATTCTGTTTAAGAACGCCTGTCTCACTGTCTGCGAGGAAGGAATTGTGGGGTCAAGATCAGCAGCAGGGGTTGAGGCTTGTCCCCTCATTGTTGCCTGCCTCCCTCCAATCTGTCCTGTCTCCTGCCTTTGTCCTGACCTGCAGCCTGAGCTCCGAGGCTGCCCCTACTCTACCTAACCAGTGCTCCTAGGTGTGCCCACATGGGCTGCACCCCTAACCCCATGGCTTTAGCCACACTGGTCCCTCTGCTTCTATCCTGCCTGTCCCCTCAGGCCTCAGTTTGAAGGTCATACCCTTGCAGAGTCTCTCATTTCCCCCTCACCAGCTGTCTCAGTGCAGGGACCCTGTTTGTCTTGGTCACCCCTGTGTCTCCAGGCCCAGCATGATGTATGGTAGACGGTATGAATGAGTGGACCTCTCTGCAGCCTTGGTGATGAAGGTGAGCAAAATAAATTGCTCCCTGCTCTTTCCTTTGAACACACTGGGGGCCCGGAGACTCCATGCCCGTGGCATCCCCCAAAATTGGACACATGGGGTAGAAGGTGGGCTTGGGAAGCCCAGGAAAGCAATATTTATCAAGCAGAAGTGGCCCTGAAGGGAGTGAGAAGTGGGGTTAGAATCCTGGCCCACCTTTGTTTGCTGTGTGACCTCAGGCAGGTGGTGCCACCTCTCTGGACATCACTGTCTATCTCTTTAAAAATATCAGTCCTGCTTCATGGTGGGGGGAGTATATGAGGCAATATATACTCCTGGCAAAGAATATATGAGAGGGTTTGTGGGAATCCCTGTGCCGGGGCCTGGTCCAGGTACCCATAAGCTCACGCACTGGGTGCTGAGTCTCTAAGAGGCCTTCTGAACAGCAGTGAGGGCACATGGTCCCTTGCCCATAGGCCACAAAGGAGAAACTAGAAAAGGAAGGTTCTCTCTCGCCTGCTTACTCACCTGCTCACTCACCTGCTCTCTCTCTCTCTCTCTCTCTCTGTCTGTCTGTCTCTGTCTGTCTCTCTCGCTGTCTGTCTCTCTCTCTCTCTCTCTGTCTCTCTCTCTCTGTCTCTCTCTCTGTCTCTCTCTCTCTGGCTTGTAACACTAAGACAATGTATCTTATGAAACTACAGGTTCTGAGGCAGGCGGCTCCCAGGCTGGTCAGCTCTGTGGTGTCATTCTCAGCATATTACTGAGTTATACCGCCAGCTGTCCTCATGGACACACAAGAGTGGCAGCAGCTCTAGGCGGCATCTCCAAATGGGGCCTTGCTCAGAATGGCATAGCTTCACACCTCCTTTTTCATTCCTTCAGGGAGGTGTAACTTCCATGTAACAGACTGTGTTTATTTAAAGCATATAGTTTGATGAGTTCAGTCATTGTGTATACCCAGGAAACCATAAACTCACATTCTATCACCCCCTAAAGCTTCCTCACACCCGTCTGTATCCAGCCTGTCCCCAGGCAGCCACTGATGTGTTTTCTGTTACCGTTTCCCAGGATTTATTTATTTAAGTGGAATCACGTAGATATGTTCTCCATTGTCTGGTTTCTTTCACTCGGCTCAGTGATCCTGAGATTCTCTCATGCTGTTGCCAGTGTCAGTAGTCATTCCTTTTCATAGCTGAGGAGTGTTCCATGGTGTGGCTGGACACAGTTTATGTCTCCATTCACCTGTTGAAGGACACTGGCATTCTCGCCAGCCTGAGTCTATTTAAAATAAGCTGCTGTGAACATCCATGCATGCGTCTTCATGTGGACGTATGGTTCCTTTCTCTTGGGTGAATACCTAAGAGAGTAATGGCTGGGTTATAAGCTGGATTATAACTTTCTGAGAACCTGTCAAACTTTATCAGAGTGGTTGTCCCATTTTCCTTTCCTATCGGCAGTGATGCTTCACATGCAAAACCACAGGCCATGAGAGAGAGATGAGGAGAAGAGCCTCTCTTGAGGCCACAGGCAGGTTCTAGTAGATGTGAACACTTAGCATGTCCCGCTCCTGACACAGACAGAAGAGCAGGGCTCATTAGCACAGAGAGGCTCTGAGAAGATCTACAATGAGAGCCTATGGGACATTGTTTAACCTGGCATCTCCTGAGTGACGCGGTCCTGGACTCTTGCCCCATAGCCCCCCTCCACGCTCCCTCTGGGAAGATTCCCACTGGCCCTTGTGGAAGTTCACTTGGTGAAATGCTTTCCTTGAGGAATCCCCTGGGGGATGGAGATCGGATGGCCCTTTGATGGACAGGTGTGTTTGGGGTCCCTGGAGGGAAGGAAGCTGGTGCGTCTCACCCCCCACCCCAGCCATCCAGCTGGTGGAACTCAGGATGAAAGTGTCTTCCCTGTCTTCCACCTCCACCCAGGTGCTCATCTGCCGGAACTACCGCGGCGACGTGGACATGTCGGAGGTGGAGCACTTCATGCCCATCCTGATGGAGAAAGAGGAGGAGGGGATGCTGTCACCTATCCTGGCCCATGGGGGAGTCCGCTTCATGTGGATCAAGCACAACAACCTGTATCGTATCCCTTGGCTAGGGGGCTCCCAGGGGGCTCCTGTGTGGACATGTGTGTGCATTCACACACACGTGCAACTGAGGGCTGCCAGCCCCTGCCCCGGCTGACCCAGGGCTGGCTCAGGCCAGTGGGGGCCATGAGGCACAGCCCTGTCTTTCTGGAGCTCCCTGCTGCCCAAGGGTGACCAGTGTGACAGAGGTCCAGGGAGCCAGGAAGGGTTCCCTGAGGAGGTGACATCCTGCAGGAGACCTGCAGGAAGGCCAGGTGTCTGCCAGCCACGGGAGCTGGCCAGCATGAGGAGCACTAGCCCAGGCGAAGTCTCATTCCGGAGCTGTAGTGGGGGTGACTGGAGCCCTGGGGCGGGTTGCATGGTAGGAGCAGGGCCCAAGTGGTCAGCAGGGTGTGCACTGCAAGGCCTCATAGGAAATCACCTTAATTGTGTTGGGAAGTCTTCAGAAGGTTTCAGGCAGAGGGGTGACACGGGCACGTTTGCATTTTCTGAAAGTGTCTGGCTGCTGAGTGGATGCCAGAATTCAGGGATCAGAAGTGGACATAGAGAGGGGTGGGGAGGTGGAGGTTGGCATCCAGGTGGGCAGGGTGGTGGCCTGGATCATGAAGGGTGGTGGGATACAGAGGAGGGAAGAGATTCCTCCCAACCCTGCCCAGATCTCAGAGCCCCCCCGTGCTCAGGCTCATGTGGAGACCTGGCTGAGCCAGTTTCCATCCGTGAGGTCTGACCGGCCCCCCCCATGGCTTTGGTCAGGCACATTCTGATATCCGCACTGCTGCAAGAAGGGCATGGCTTTGCAGCACACAGCCCTGTTCAGACCCAAGCTCCAGTTGGTATGTGACTGGAGGCAAGTCCTCACCTTCCCACAGTCCAGTGAGAGCAGGACTGTTAGGGTCCGTTGAGCTGGTGCATATGCATCACACCCGGCAGACGTGGGTTCTGTCTCCTTTCCCGTGTTCATGGAGACACACAGGACCTCGCTAGTGCAGGTGTGGTCCACGGGCCTGAGCATCCCCTGGGAGCCTTTTGGAAATGCAGAATCCCAGATCCCATGCAGCCTTGCTGGGTCAGAATCTGCATTGTAGCAAGGCCGTCCCTAGTGATTTGTGTACATGTTACAGGGTGGGAGGTGTTGGCCTGGGACCTTCATCCAGTGCCCTGAGGTCTGGCTCCCTTCATCGTGCCTCTGTTTCTTCACCCCTCTCTGGAAGGCCTCAGGGGCAGCTCTGTAGAGTATGGCAGGTGGCCTGTGAGCCAAGAGTTGGCTATCTTGGAAGCTGCCCTGGGTCTGGGCGGTGGTTGCCCGGGTATGGAGAGGAGGGAGGGGCAGCTGTGTCAGCGCAGTAGGAGCCGTCAGACCAGTTTCCAGTTGGGCGCCAGTGTTTCACGCATGGGCAGCCAGGGAGGAGACATCGAGGGCTTGCCCTCTGGGTGCCAGTGCCCAGCTCACCCTGCCTGAGTTCCAGCCTGAGTTCCATCGTCAGGTGGCAGTTTCCAGCAAGGCCCAGCCATGAGGGTCAGAGGTGCCCTCTGCCCCTCCTTAGAGAGCACCTGGATGGCATGTTGCCCAGACTAGAGGTGGGAAGCCAGCACTCCTTTGACTGGCCCAGCTCCATTTCCTGGGGCCCTGCACTGGGCCAGTTGAGGCAGGAAGTGAGGTGGAGGCAGTCCCTTTCTCCCTCCCAGAGCTCACAGCTTGGCACTGGAGTGGCACAGGCTTGTTGTGAATGGCCAGGGCGCAGTGCACAGGAACTGGCCTCCCTGGGTGGCTTGAGGCCCTTTAAGGAAAGAGGAACAGGAAGTGCCCAGTATACACTGACCCCAAGAGGTGAGGACATAACCCACACCCACCCGCCGTTCCCCCCCCGCCCATCAGAGGGAGTGTGCCAGACACTTTACATACATCACCTCAGTAAATCCACTCTCAGGCCCCCATCATACTAGTGAGAAAATGGAGGCTTCGTTCAAAAGGTTTGCTTCAGGGGCAAAGGCTCAAAGAAAGGCTTGAGCTAGAATTGGCCCTGGCTGCTTCCACCGGAGCCTGCCTGGGGAGCCCTGGACCTCAGGAGGGTCACGTAAGCGATGGGCTTTGGAGAAGGGCTGACTGTGCTCCTGCTTCCCACTCTGGGATGACCCGCGCTACCTCCTCTTGCCCCAGGCTGCTCACCCCACCTGAAGTGCCCTCTACCACACCCTGGGCTTCAGCCCTCAGCTCAGGCATCAGCTCCTCAGGGCAGCCCCCGCTACCCAGCAGCTGGGGTGGGTTCCCTGTGCCCCCTGCTGCCCCTCTGTCAGCTGAGCGCTCCCTGGGAGCCGGGACCTCCTCTGTCTGTAACTGCTGTGTCCCAGGCCCAGCTCAGACCAGGAGGTCGGTAACCCGCTGAGGGCCGAGTCTTGGCTTGGGGTGGCTTCAAAACATGCAGTGAACTGGGGTCTGTGGGGTGGCAGCCCAGGCCTCTGACTGCTCCTTAACTGCAGCCGCCACGCAGTGGTCGCCACCTCTAAGAAGAACGCGTGCGTGTCACTGGTGTTCTCCTTCCTCTACAAGGTGGTGCAGGTGAGTTGAGCCACAGGGGCCACAGGGGTATCCGTCACCCTGGCACTGCAGTGTGCCTCACCATACCAGCCTCCCGAGGGCTGCAGCATCCCTAGGGAGTTTGGAGCTGGAACCCCAGAAGTGAGATGGGGGAGCTCCACGTGATCCGTGAGTGGGATTCTGTGGCCTTAGTTGCTCCTCTGCCTGGTGAAGAGAGGAAAGTGAACGGGAGGTGGGGCTCAGGCCAGGTGAGCCATGACTCCAAGAGGGACAGGTATGCTCCCTAGCTGGCTGTGGAAGGGTGGAGGGTAACCAGATGAGTCAGAGATTAGGAAGGTGGGATAAGCAGGAGGAGGGTGGAGCCAAGTTCTGTTCAGAATCTTGTGGGGGCGGGGCCTAAAGGCACAGAGGCCTGAGGCCCTACCTTGGAGAGAGGTGACACACAGCAGGCCCAGCTGACAGCTGGGGAGGCAGAGAGCAGCACATGCAAAGGCCCTGGCGGGGGAGTGCATGTGGTGCAGCCAGGGAACATCAGGTGGGCCAGTGTGCTCAGGACAGAGTGTGGGGCTGCTATCAGCAAGGTGACAGGGCTAGACCATAGGGGTGGGCGGGGTGGGCGGGGTGGGCAGGGGTGGGATGTACAGGGCCTAGTGAGGAGTTCAGATTTCATTCCAAGTCTGGCGAGAGATGGTGGAGGGCACTAAGCAGGAGACTGACAAGACCTGATTCGAGGTAAGATCATCTCTGGCTGCTGAGTAGAAAAAGCACTTGAAGGCAGCTGGGAGGCCAGGCCGGTTTCCAGGAGAGAGATGGAGGGGCGCGGCCAAAGTGGGGGCTGTGGGGTTGAAGAAAGTGGGCAGCTGGGCCCAGGAGGCCTGGGGTGGGCCCAGGAAAGCTTTCATCCCTCAGATGGTGCCCTGTGCAGCCCGATCAGGAGCCATCTACGCCAGACGCTGGGGAACAGGCTGGTGTGGGCAGTGAGGACATGGGCGCAGGAGAGCAGCATGTCCCCCGGGGAGGCCCCGGGTGCAGGCTGAGGAGTAGGCCTGCATTCCGGAGCTGTCGCAGGCCGGGCTGCACTGCCTGTGATTTCAGGGGAGAGGCCCAGGGTTGCGGTCCTGGGGTGTGGGGACCGGGAAGCGGGAAGGAGGAACTTCTCCCTGAAGTGTCTGGCATCGCCTGTCTGCTTCAGTGTTTGCGCTCGTGAAAGAGCTTCGACTAAGCTCCTCTTCCCTTTGTCTCCTTTGGCGTCCCTGCTTTGATCCTCTTAATTTTCTGTTGAAATGGGGCAGATTCGTCTGCAGGCACAGCTGTACAGACTGGAGTTCAGGGAGGCCAGAGGAGGCTGAAAGAGCCACTTGTCCCCTCCGCAGTGGTTCCTGTCCCTCACCTGAGTCACTCCTGGCTCAGAGGCAAAGGGTGATAGTTACAGTCAGAATTAAAGGGAAGATGGGAAGGGGCCCCAGGCCTGGGAGTGTCTGTCAGGGAGGGGAGGAGGGGTGGGGCTTCTGACCAGGCCTGACGCCTGTCCTCCCCCAGCCTGGTTCCCGCCTCATAGGCGGCCACTGCTGTCCTCCTGCCCACAAGGCCCCGTCCATAGCACTCTGGGAAACGGGCAAACGCAGCTCGTGGACAAAAGGGCTGTTAGCAGGGACCTCAGGGCATGAAGGGCAAATGAACGCGTGCAAGCGTTCATCCCCTCGTCCTTCCTCTCAACGATCTGCCCCCCACGCAACACCACAGGTATTTTCGGAATATTTCAAGGAGCTGGAAGAGGAGAGTATCCGCGACAACTTCGTCATCATCTACGAGCTGCTGGATGAGCTCATGGACTTCGGCTACCCCCAGACCACAGACAGCAAGATCCTGCAGGAGTGAGTGGGTGGGATGGGCCCGGGGATGGGGGGCGGGGGTCAGGCCCCTCCTGAGTGACGTCACAACATTGATGTCGTCAGCAGGTTTGGAGGTGGAGGAAGCAAACGTATGTTCATGTTGTTGGTCCCCCTGCCCTGTCTCCAGCCGCACCAGAAGTTTATAAGTCACTGGGACAGCTGTGGGTCCTTTTTCCACACAGCATCCGTGCGTAGCATGAGCATTTTTCCTGTTGCGAGGTCTTCATTTCCATCCACAGAAGTGTGCTAAATGGCTTGTTACTAGGGAGTCACCTGCCTTTGTTTTTATTGTCGTAAATGAAGCTATGATGAAAAATCTCCCTCCTTTGGAATCCTGCCCATCAAGTAACAGTCACCGTGGATTAAGCACTTCCCGTGAACCAGGCCCTGTGCGAGCACTTTTTTCACTCCATTCACAATCAGGGGTGCTGTCTTCCCATTTTACAGGAGAGCAGAGGGACACTCAGAGAAGCCACATTAACTTCAGCACATCTCACATCTGTTGTTCCCCAAGTGGAATCAGGGTCACCAGGTTATACCCCTAGGAGGTTGGTCCCTTCTGCACCCCCAGCGGGGGAGCACTTCATGCCCACTTCTTGTTTTCCTCACCAACACTGTCTCCTTGGCTCCCTAAAAGTGACCACTCTGCACTCACTGTAACTGAAGAGTTTGTTGGAGGCTTTGGAAATCGTAAGATATTCTTGTGTTAAACAGCCTCAGGCGAAACCAGAGCCTGCCTTTCCTGGCCCTGCTACAGGGAGGGGCTGTTTTGAAGAATGTCTGTGCCTGAGCTGCTTAACTGTGAGCCCGGGCCCACAGGTACATAACTCAGGAAGGCCACAAGTTGGAAACAGGGGCCCCACGGCCCCCAGCCACCGTCACCAACGCAGTGTCCTGGCGCTCTGAGGGCATCAAGTACCGGAAGAACGAGGTGTTCTTGGACGTCATTGAGTCTGTCAATCTCCTGGTAGGCTTCCTTTTCTTTTTTTGAAATTTTATCTTCTCCATGATTGGAAATAAAAGCAGCTCTACTTTTAAAACTAGCAAGGCCCTGAGAAACAGGTAGTTTCTGTGTGATAGCAGATCAGCGGGATTCAGGATGGGCTGCTCATTGCAATGTGAGCTTGTTTTATCTTCATTAGTTTCTGTTCTTATTTAGAGTGAATGCATGCACATCATTAAAAAAAAAAAAAGTGTATAGAGTTTGAAAGTGAAGGGCTCTGTAATCAGAAGGGCCACATCGCTTAAGGATTCGTTGTCACCCTTTGGGACCTCGTGCTGTAGATATACAGACATACGTTGTTTTTCTGTGAAACTGAGAGCGTAAGATGTAGTTCTCCTGTGACTTGTTTTTGGGGTTTTTTGGTTTTTGGTTTTTACTGTTTTGTGTATGTTTGTTTGTTTGTTTTTTCATTTTATTTTTTAAGTTACTATTTGGTAATTGACCATATTTTCTATGAATTTTAGCACATGTACAGATTTGTGTACCCATTACCATAACCAGGAATCAGAACAGCTCCATCACCTCAGAAACCTCCCTGGATGCTGCCTCTTGGTAGTCACACCCTCCTGCCTGTTCCCAACCCCTGGCAACTGCTGATCTGGTCTTCATCACTATAGTTCTGTTGTATGAGTGGAATCGTACAGTGTGTGTCAGTTTGAATCTAGCTTCTTTCAGTATAACGCCTTTGAGATTCATCCAAGTTGCTCTGTTATCAAAAGTTTATTTCTTCTTATATTTGTTTATTTTATATGTTGAACTACAGTATGTTTATCCATTCACCCATCAAAGGACATCTGGGTTGTTTCCAGTGTTTGGCAGTTGTTAAAAGAGTTGCTATAAACATTTCATGTATAGGTTTATGTGTGGACAGAAGTTTTCATCTCTCTGCGGCAGATACCCTGCAGTGGGATTGCTGGGTCATATGGTAAGTGTATGTTTAACTGTGTAAGAAACTGCCATACTGTTTTCCAGAGTGGCTGTTAACATTTTTGCATTTTCACCAGTAGCAGATGAGAGTTCCAGTTGCTCCACATCCTTGATCAACATTTTAATTTTTGTCATCCTAATAGGTGTCTCATCATGGCTTTAATGTGCATTTCCCTAATGGTTAATGATGTTGAGCATCTTTCTATGTGCTTCTTTGTCATCATTATGCTCTTTGGAGAAGTGTCTCTTCATATCTTCTGATCATTTTTGAGTTGTTTGTTTTCTGATTGTTGAGTTTTGAAAGTTCTTTATGTATTCTGGATAAAGTCTTCTGTCACATATGTGATTTGCAAATATTTTCTCCTAGTCTGTCACTTTTCTTTTCATTCTATTGGCATTGTCTTTCATGGAGCAAAAGTTTTTAATTTTGAGAAAGTCCAAATGTCGTTTTTTAAATTGATTAAGCTTTTGGTGCCATGTCTGAGAACTCATTGTCAAACCCAAGGTCACATAGATTTTCTCCTAAATTTTCTTCTAAAAGTTTTATAGTTTTACATTTAGGTCTATGATATTTTTGACTTAAATTTTATTTGAGGTGTGAGGCATATATCCATTTTTTTGCATATTGAACATTTTTTTTCATTTGTTGTAAAATCATTTTGGAAAATATTATCCTTTTTCCATTGAATTGCTTTTGCATTTTTGTCAAAGAACAGTTGGCCATATTGTGCAACTCCATTTCTGGACTCTGTTCTTTTCCATCGATCTGTATATCTGTTCCTTCACCAATAGCCACACTGGCTTGATAACTGTAACTTTATAGTAAGTCTGAAAATCAGATAATGTAAATCTCACAACATTCTTCTTTTTCAAAATTGTTTAGCTCTTTAGTTCCTTTGTGTAGAGTTTTAGAATCAGCTTGTCTGGGATTTTGATTGGTGTTGTGTTAAATAACTCTATTAATCAATTTGGGGAGATTTGATATCTTTAGTATATTAAGTCTCACAATCCATGAGTGCAGTATGTCTCTCTATATACATTTAGGTCATCTTTGATTTCTTTCATCAGCATTTTCTAGTTTTTACCATGTACAAATTTTTTGTTAGATTTATACCTAAGTATTTCATTTTTTGGAAGCCATTGTAAATTGCTTAGTTTTAATTTTATTTGGTAGAATTCACCTGCAAAACTATCTGAGCCTGGAGATTTATTTTTCAGTACGAATTTCAATTATTTAATGGTTATAGGATTATTTGGGTTTTCTGTTTCATCTCGAGAGAGTTTTGGTAGTTTGCTGTTTTTAAGAAATTGATCTATTTCATCTAAGTCACTGAGTTTATATGCACAGTGTTGTTTATAGTATTCCCTTATTACCTTTTTCATGTGTACAGGATCTGTACTGATACACTCTCTTTCATTTCCGATATTGGTAATTTATGTTCTTTCTTTTCTCTTTGTCAATCTTATGAGAGGTTTATCTGTTTTATTGATTTTCACAAAGAATCAACTTTTGATTTCATTGATTTCCTCTATTATTTTTCTGTTTTCAATCACAGTGATTTCTGCTCTTATCTCTAATATTTTCTTCCTCATGATTTTGGCTTATTTTGCTCTTCTTTTTCTAGTTTCTTAAAGTGGAAACTAAAGATACTAATTTGAAACTTTCTTCTTTTCTAATATAAACATTTAATGCTATAAATTTCTCTCTAAGCACTACTTTAGCTGTATCCTACACTGATATGTTGGATTTTCATTTTTGTTCAAAATATTTTCAAATTGCCCTTGAGACTTTCTTTTTGACCCATGGCTTATTTAATAAAAGTGTTGTTTAATTTCTAAATGTTTGCAGGTTTTTCTGTTATCTCATTGTCATTGATTTGTTTTAAGATTTATTTATTATTTATTTATATATATATTTTTTATTATTTATTTTTGGCTGCATCAGGTCTTAGTTGCAGCATGTGGGCTCTTCATTGTGGCGCACGGGCTTCTCTCTACTGTGGCGTGCAGGTTTTCTCTTCTCTAGTTGTGGCGCCCAGGCTCCAGGGTGCATGGGCTCTGTAGTTGTGGTGCGCAGGTTCCAGAGCACGTGAGCTCTGTAGTTTGAGGCACACAGGCTCTCTAGTTGAGGCGCGCAAGCTCAGTAGTTGTGGCACGTGGGCTTATTTGCCCTGTGGCACGTGGGATCTTAGTTCCCTGACTAGGGATCGAACCCACGTCCCCGGCATTGTAAGGCGGATTCTTTACCACTGGACCACCAGGGAAGTCGCTGTCATTGATTTTTAATTTAATTCTATTATTGTCTGAGAATATAGTTTATATACTGTCAGTTCTTTAAAGTTTGTTAAGGTCTGTTTTAATGAACCAGAATATGATCTATCTTGGTGAATGTTCCATGTACCCTTGAAAAAAATGTATATTCTGCTCTTGGAGAGAGTGTTCTGTAAATACCAATTAAATCCAGTTGGTTAATGGCATTGTTCAATTCTTCTAGCAATTCTTGCTAATTTTCTGTCTACTGGTTCTACCTGTTACTGAGGAGCATTCAAATCTCCAGCTATAATTGTGAATTTGTCTGTGTCTTTGCTTCACATATTTTGAAGTTCTGTTATTAGGTGCAAAGGGATTTAGGATTCTTCTGTTTTCTTGGTGAACTGACCCCTTTATCATTATATAATGTCCCTCTTTATTCCTGATAATTTTTTTGCTCTGAGGTCTGTTTTGCTATTAATATTGTCACTCTGGAATTCTTTTGATTAGTGTTTACATGGTATATGTCTTTCTATCCTTTTACTCCTTTTTTAAAAAAATCCTTTTACTTTTAACTTAACCTGTGCCGTATATCTTGTAGAAAACATATAATTGAGTCATTTTTTAAATCCATTCTGACAGTCTCTGTCTTTTATATATTTAGAGCATTTATACTTACTGTAACTGTTAATTTGCTTGGATTAAAATATACCACTTTATTGCCTTCTGTTTTTCATTCCTTTGTTTCCTTTTCCTATCTTTCTGTGATCTTTTTGAACATTTGTAGCTTTCCATTTTGTTTCTTCACTCTTTTTTTTCTTCGTATAGTTATTTTAGTGGTTGCTATAAAATACTCTAGAGTTAATATTTTACAGCTTCAATTGGAATTTAGAAACTTTACTGCCCCGTTATAGAGTCGTCCTGTATATTCATCTATATACATTGAAAACCATATCATACAGTGTTAAAATTTTTGCTTTCGATTGTCAAACATACTTTAAAGAACTCAACAGGAGAAAGAGAAGACTCTCTACCATATTTACCCAGATATTTACTATTTCTGTTGCTCTCCCCTCATTTCCAATTTTCCAGGTTTCCTTCTGGTACAATTTCAGTTCCATCTAAAAAGATTCTTTCAGCAGTTCTTTCAAAACAGGCCTACTGGCTACAGATTCCCTTCGTTTTCCTTCATCTTAGAATGTCTTTACTTCATCTTCATTCCAAAAGGAAATTGTCACTGGATATCAAATTCTGGGTTAACAGTTCTCTTTTAGTACCTTAAAAATGTTGTGTCACTTCCGTCTGGACTCCATGGTTTCTGATGAAAATCCACAGTCACTCGAATCGGTATTCCCCTGTAGGTAATGTGTTGTTTTTCTCTGGCTGTTTTCCACATTTTTTCTTTGTGTTTAGTTTTCAGCAGATAGCTTATGATGTGTCTAGGTATGGATATCTTTGGATTCCTACTGTTTGGGGCTTGTTCAGCTTCTTGGATCTGTAGATTTATGTATTTTACCAAACTCGGGATGTTTTCATCCATTATTTCTTAAAATATGTTTTCACCATTTCACTCTTTCTCATTTCCGTCTGGACTCCAGTGACATAAATGTTAGACCTTCTGTTATTGTCCCAAGGGTCTCTGAGGCTCTGTTCATTCTATTCCATCTTTTTTTTCTCTCTATTGTTTAGATTGGATAAGTCCTATTGATCTGCTTTCAAGTTCACTGACCGTTTCCTATGTTCTCTCCATTCTGCTATTAAGCCCATTCAGTGATGTTTTTGTTATTGTATTTTTCAGTTCTAAAATTTCCATTTGATTCTTCTTCTTACAGTCTTATTTCTTTCCCAAGACTTTCTAGTTTGACATTTGTTGCAAGAGTGTTTGCAGTTTTTATCCTAGCTATTTAATGTCTGTCAGATAATCCCAATATCCATATCATTGTTGGTGTCTGTTGATTTTATTTTCCATGTGAGCTGAAATTTTCGTGGTTCTTTGTATGCTGAGTAATTTTAGATTATATCCTGGGGTAAGATTCTAGGTCTTATTTAAATTATACAGAAAATGTTGATTTTGTTTGTTTGTTTGTTTTAGCTGACAGTTGTCCTGGTTAGGTTCAGGCCACAAGTTTCAACCCCCAATCTGTGGGCCATGAGAATCAGTTCAGTTTTCAAAGCCGTTGTGCCCTTTGCTATTTAAATCTATCCCAAATATGCACTGCCCAGTGGTCTGTCAGGGACTGGGGAGAGTTTGGTTCTTGGTGTCTTTGGCGTGCTAATTAGGATCATATCCTTGCATGCCTGGTTCTAGAGAGATCTGGAGACATAAACAACTTCATGAGGTTGCTTACCTGAACCTTTCACTCTCTGCTCTCTACCTGGTGCTTTCTGGCTGGGGGCTTCCCTTTTTGGTTCTGTGGCCAAAAACTCAGGGCTCTAGGTCCCTACTCTCGCGCCTGTCTGCACTTGGGCTGAAATCCTGGGTTTGCCCCACCCTCTCAGAAAGGCAGCTGAATTGCCTAGGGCCTGGGACTTGAGAAAACAGAGAAAAGGGGGTAAATGAGGGATATCCCTACTCCTTCTGAGCGGCAGGAGTCCCCTTCTGGCCCTGGAGCTAGAGCCAGAGGCTTCCACAAGCTCTGACTGCACCGTACTTCTTGGTTCCACTTGCAGGTTTCTGCTGCACTTGCACGTGGGTAGCGGGGTAGGGAGGGCTGCTCGTTCAGTCGGCTCCTCCCAGACCCACCTTTTCAGTCTTCCAGTAGTTGCCCATGCGTCCTGCCCAGGTTTTATAGCTGTAGTCAGTGGTAGAGAAAGGGTGATGCAGGCCAGTCCCATCTCACCTGCAGCCTGCCTGTCACCTCTCGGGAGAGGGCCTCACTCCCATTACCTGGGCAGACAAGGACTGGCTGGGCCAATCCAGTCATGTGGGCCACTTAGGTGTGCCCATTTCTGACTGTTACAGCCAGTGCAGAAATGAGCATGATTGCTCATCCTCAGATGTGTGTTTGGGCATCTCCTTTATCTGGGCAGGATTTCTGGAGGGCTGAGTTCCCAGACATGCAATTGCTAAGTAACAGTGCCTTCCAAAAAGATTCTCCCAGTGGACTGAATATAAACGTATTTGCTCTCTTACTTACTAAGCCATGAGGCAAGACAGTGGCCTCACTCACTGTGTTCCCCTCCTGCCTGAGGACCTTCGTCTGAATTGTTTACTGAGCCCAGAACATGGCTGTAGGGTGTCCTAAGGTGGAGAAGCAATCCCAGGGAGCAGCTTATAAACAACTGCCTGGGAAAGTGCTGGGAGTTCAGGGGCGTCCCAGCCGCAGTGTGTCCCTACACATGGTGCTGCCCAAGGACCCCTGTTCTTCCATACAAGGGGCAGCAAGAGGCAGGTATGGACATCCCAGTCATGTTGGAACACACCTTCCTAAGTCTGGTTGCAGAACTGGCGGCCTTCAGAGTCAACATTGGCCTCCAGATTCTGAAAATCTTGTTGTACTAGTATAATTAGGCAGCCGATCCCCCAGCAAACATCTCCTCCATGCCCACCCTGGGGAAGGCACCAGCTTTGGGCTGCCAGTCACGCCTCCGCACCGTCCTGGTTGCTGCCCAGGTGGCCAGGATTAGCCTTAGAGGCTGCATGGCTTTTGTCTCCACTTCCTGAGCCTTCTTTCCCATCATTCAGCTATAGAGGGTGGTGCAGTCCCAACTCCCCAAGGGGAGATAGCCCCGCAGAGAAGGGGGTCTAAGGGCAGACTGTCGGGGGGGAACACGGAGGACCCGCAGAGTAAGGCAGGTGGTAGTGCCAGCCGCCCAGAGCCCAGGGGCGAAGGGCCATGTCTGCACGGGCTCGCCGAGTGCCCGCTGCCCCAGGCACTGTCCTCATGCTGGACCCAGCAGTGAGCAGCCTGACATGACCCCTAACCCGAGCGTGGACAGGATGGATGGACAGGCAGACAGGGCTGGCAAGAGGCAGAGGAGGAAGCAGCTTCTGTGTGCTGTGGGGTCAGGTTGCTGCCTGATGAGGCGAGGACAGTGAGAGGCCAGCATGGTCAGAGCATAGTGAGCGACGGGAAGTGACGGAGCCACACCCTGCAGGGCCTGCTGTCCTGTTTTGTGCCTTTCTCGGGGTCATCGTCCACATGGCGCCTCAGTTCTCCACTTCCCTCAGAGGCGAAGGGCTTTCATGTGTGCACGTGTTACTTGCAGACATCTGAGTTAAAGACTGGACAGATTTTCCTGCTTCTTTGCAGAAATCGGAAACTCAGGCCCTCCAAGGAACGGCCCATATGGCCCTAGGGCCTCTGAGTTTGTAGCCCTCTGTTTTACTTGCTGGTGTGGATGTGGCCTCGTGCAGAATGGCACTGTGGGGTGGTGGTCCAGGCTATGGCCCCAGCACCTCTGCCAGCCACTCTGTGCCCTCGGCGTGTGGCATCCTCTCTGTGCCTCAGTGTCCTCGTCTCTAAAATGGGCCCAAGGAGAGGTGCTCCAGCAGCCTGGCCCCCTGAGGACAGTCTCCGGGTTTGCCCATCGTCCTGCTGTGATTTTTAGTTGCACTCTCAGATGCCTTCCGGTTTGCACAGGGTAGCCCAAGTCACAGCCCCGCCCTGTTGAGGAGGAGCTGCTCAGTCAGTGTTGTAGCTGTGATTGTATTTGCTTAAGTCTATTGTTATTTTGGATCGGTGGTTATCAGACATCTGGGCAGCCCTGGGAGCAGGGTCCAGGAAGCTCCGTCTTCCAACAAGCCCTTGGGACTTTGCCAGGCCCCACATGGAGAAACAGAGATTTCCAGGAAAGTCAGTCTGGCCTGCTCCCAGCAGATGAGCAGACCTGGTAGAGTCCCTGCCCAGGCCAGCAGAGCACACGGCCTCAAGCCACCAGGTCTGCCCTGGGCATCCCAAGAGCAACTTAGAGTAGAGCCCTCAGAGAGGATTCCAGGCACAGTATCACCTGGCCCATCTGCGAGGGAAGAGCCTAGTGTGGCCTGAGGACTAGAAGGCGGGACCTGTAAGTGTCTGCCTCCCTGGCCTGGCCTGGCACTGCCTCCCCAGCTCAGGGGACAGTGAGAAGGGCTTCGAGAATGGGAGGGTCACACAGCGTGGTGGGGGACAGTGACCGGTGCGTGGGGCCTCCCCTCACCCCCTCCTCGCCACCTCCTAGGTCAGTGCCAACGGTAACGTCCTACGCAGTGAGATTGTGGGCTCCATCAAGATGCGGGTCTTCCTGTCGGGCATGCCTGAGCTGCGCCTGGGCCTCAACGACAAGGTTCTCTTCGACAACACGGGCCGTGAGTATGCCACCGGGGCCCAGGTTTCACCCCTGGGGCAGCTGAGGGACTGTTCACAAGTTCATCTCAAGCACTTGGCTTAGAAACATTTTCACGTTGTTTACAAGACAACTGTGAAAACGAATAAACTAACACCTGGACTTAGAGGACATGGGAGAGTGAAAATACTCAAGTCAAGCCCCCTTGTTGCTCCAAGGGCCAGAGGTGCAGGTGAGTACCTTAGGGGCCAAAGCACATGTAGCATCATACAACAGGTCCTCAACTCCACCCTACTGGAAGGTACTGCGGGGCTCGCTCTCCCCTCCCAGACCCAGTTTCTGCCCTCACCTCTGGCGTTGGGTCTGGGCTGTTCAAAAGCCACATACAGTGGTTCGAGCATGCGCTGCCTGGCCTGGATGTAGCACTTCCCATGGTGGGGCATGGCCAGAGCAGCCTCAGGAGCCCAGGGTGGCTGGGGCTCCGTGTTTGCAAACTGGACCACCAGCCTCCCCGCCAACCACAGGTCCACCGGCGGCTGGAGCAGTGGAGCGTGTTGTCATAGTTACGTATGCAGCATTGCTAGTGAGGGCCTCTCTGATGTTAGCCCATCAGAGCAGCTCCCCTCTCAGGACTGAGCTTAACCCACACAGCCTCTCTGGGCTGGGAAAACCAAGACAGGACCCCAGGGATGACAGGACCGACCGGGGCCCTCAGGGAGCCCCAAGCCATCACCGAGCACCCCCAGTGGGGTCTGTTAATCATTCAGCAAACATGTCCCAGGCAGCAACCCTGGCTGGGGACTCATTGTGAACTAAGCCTACTAGCCCTGTCCTCAGCCCAATCTTGGGACGTAATGGGGCTTCCAGGGGGGTGAGGAGAGATGGGGCGTGGCTGCCTCAGAAGCCGGCCCCCTTGGTGTTCGTGGCCCAAGATACTCTCACAGATCTGGGAGCAGCTCTGCTCTGCTCTGTCAGGAGTGAACCCTAGACAGTGGGAGCATTGCTGAGAGAGTGGCCTGGGGGCCCTAGGGGCTGTCCCACCCTCACCCCCACCTCCCCTCAGGTGGCAAAAGCAAGTCCGTGGAGCTGGAGGACGTGAAGTTCCACCAGTGTGTGCGGCTCTCTCGCTTTGAGAACGACCGCACCATCTCCTTCATCCCACCCGATGGCGAGTTCGAGCTCATGTCCTACCGCCTCAACACCCATGTGAGTGCACCAGCCACCAGCCAAGAGGGCCCCCAGGCCGCCGACCCTGCTCCTCCCCTGGGGCAGCCTCCCTCCTCTTCCCTGCTGGCTGGGAGCCGTCCCTGTCCACAGCGAGTCTCACGTCTTGTGAGGTGATGCCCAGGATGGGCACAGCTCCCCATGAGCAGCCTGGGCTCCAAGGAGCCTGTTTGACAATGCAAGGCTCTGAACTTTCTGAACTGAGGGGCCAGACCCCTTTGACACCACTGCCCCTTTCCCAGGCATTCCCCACCAGAGCGTCCTCGGTGATGTTTTCTGCATTTTCTCTAATGCTCTGACCCATCCTGGCACCAGCTGTGGAGCCACGAGCAGCAGTGTGCTGGGCTCACACCTGGCCCTGTGGTCCCTTGCCCTCAGTTTCCCCTCTGTGAAACGACTGGTTGTGAGCACCATCTTTACTCTCCCCGACAGGTCAAGCCCTTGATCTGGATCGAGTCCGTGATTGAAAAGCATTCCCACAGCCGCATCGAGTACATGATCAAGGTGTGTGTGCATCCTGCACGCAGCATCAGCCAGGCGTGTGGGGCATAAGAGGGGGGATTTGGGCTCCCCCACCTAGTGCAGGCCTTCTGGTATCTCTGGCCTGTCCGGGGCCTTGGGCACAGAGAGGACACACTGCCCGGGTCTTGTGTGCGGCCACTGTGGCAGTGGCCTTTGACCAAGTGTCCAGGTGGAGCACTCCTGCCACTCAGTGACCTCACCTAGCCCAGGCCAGCCCTGGTCACACAGACCTTTTCCCTGGAGGCCAGGGCCAGAGGGAGGGTTCGGGAGTCCCAAAGGCCAAGGGGGCAGGAGGGCAGAGACTGACCGTCCAAAGTTGAGCTTAAGGAAAACCTCAGGGGGCGGGAGAGGGCGTGGGGGTCAGCTCAGTGCTGGGAGTGGGACTCCTAGAGGCCAGGCCAAGAGGCATGTGGCCCTTGTGGGAGCAGGCTGGGTGGGAGCCAGGCTGTCTCACCTTCGCCCGCTGCAACCTTGGCCACATTGGCCTCGTCTCCAGGCCAAGAGCCAGTTCAAGCGGCGGTCAACAGCCAACAATGTGGAGATCCACATCCCTGTGCCCAACGATGCCGATTCACCCAAGTTCAAGACGACAGTGGGGAGCGTCAAGTGGGTCCCCGAGAACAGTGAGATTGTGTGGTCCATCAAGTCCTTCCCGGTGAGCACCATTCTCGGTGGGGCACCCCCTCCAGACAGGCATGGGCAGAGGCCTGCTTGGCTCAGCCTGGCTGGGGCAGGGGTGGGGCTGGGGCCCAGGGTAGGGGGGCACTCCACCTTCCTCTTGTGTGTGAACCGGCCTGTCTTCAGAGTCACGGCAGGGGTCCCCCTCTCCCTCCTCCTTCCTCCCCCTGACACTCCTGTTTAGAGCTCAGCATCCCTCCTGGGGAACAGACTGCCTTGGGGCCAGAGCCTCACGGGAATCCAGCACCAGCTCCAGGAAGGTAGAGCACTTCCTGCCCCGGCCCACAGGCTGGTATAGCCACCTGGCTTGTGTTCAGGATTTTGAGCACTTGAGTCTGGGTTTGTGGGAAGAGTGCCCTGGGACTGGAAGATGGGTAAGCGGCTGTGCCAACTCAGGGTGCGGCCCATTGCCATTCTCATGAAAAACGAGATGGAGCACTTTTTCATGTCTCAGAGGACTGTTTGTGCTTCTTTCTCTGGAAATTGTAGTAGCTGTCTCTTGCTCACTTCTCTATCAAGTTTGCTCATTTTCTTCTTAGTTTCCAAAAGCTGTTTACACATGGGCAAGATTAGTACCTTTTCTTTGATATCAGTTGCAAATGGTATTTCTCAGTGTTTGGTGTTAGTCTTTTGACTTTGCTTCTGGTGTTTTTTGCTGTGTAACCTTTTTGATTGCTTCTTCTTTTAATTGTTGTTTAATGTAGTCACATTTCTGTCTTTCTTTTATTGTGTTTGGATTTTAAGTCATGATTTGAAAGGCTTCCCCATTCCAGGCTATAAAGCAATTCACCCATGTTTGCTTCTAGGACGAGTGCAGTAGTATTTTTCACCTTAGACTTTAGGTCCTTTTGGAGCACAGTCTGGTAAATGGGTAACATACAGATCCAACTTAATCTTTTCCCACGTGGCTATCCAGTTTCCTAACATCATTCACTAAAATGTCCCATCTTTTGCCAGTGGTTTGAAATGCCGTGTTTTTCAAAAATCAAATTTTCATGCGGCATTAGGTCTCTTTCTGAGCGTCCTCTTGTCTGTCTCTCCATGCCGCAAGGCCACATTTTAACTTTATTCTATGTTTTAACATCTGGTAGGGCCAACCCTACCCCCACCGTAACTCCCCACAACCTCACTGCTTGTCTGTTTCCTGGCAACTCTTGCTTGTTTCATTTTTCTTATAAATTTTACAATCAGTTTGTTTGCACTAAATTTGTAAGTTAATTGGGAAGGATTAACACCTTTTTGAGGCCGAATTATCCTATCAATAGCCTTGCCCCACTCTCACCTTTGTGCCTTTTAGGAATGTTTTAATGCTTACCTTATATATACCTCATATGGCCTCTCCCATTGTCTTTAAAGGTACTTTTATTTAAATATGACATGCAGAAAAGTAACAAGTGATATGTGTACAACTCAGTGAATTTCCTCAGAGTGAACACAACTGAACCGGATAAAAGCCACAGAACACTCCTTGCCTCTAGGACACCCCAAAGATCTCCTCTGGTTTTGCATATTTCTCATTAAGATAATTTTTTTTTTTTTTTTTTTTTTTTTTTTTTATTTTTTTTGGTACCCAGGCCTCTCTCTGTTGTGGCCTCTCCCTTTGCAGAGCACAGGTTCCGGACGCGCAGGCTCAGCGGCCATGGCTCACGGGCTCAGCCGCTCCGCGGCATG